CGTTTAATGTCCTAGACAGCCTAGTCCCATTTAGCCACTTGTTATCAACCACCTTTTTCAAGACACATGCAACAGCTTAAAAAATCACCAGTGAGGTAATACTGATGTATTTTATGTCGTAGAATAAAACGTGAAAGTGTCTTGAGCTTGTGTTCACCACAGACCTTATTTCAGCTATTTAACCAAAAACCCATCCAAAAAAACCATTGACTTCGGGAGGATGGAACCGCAAGTGCTGAAATGCTAACTAGTTTCCTCGTTTCGCCTACAAAGTGATGTCATACCAGCACCACTCTATACCCTGCATAAACAGCTTTTGTGAGGAAACATCTTTTCATCCCGTCCGGTATTCCATCATGAGAAATCTGGTCTCCCTATTCTACGATCAATTTAGGCTTACAATGCTTTAGGGGAAACGCAGCTCGGAGCCGTCTCTCTCAAAGGCTCTGTAATATACCTCGCCGACCGTGTAAACAATCACATGGAGACGGAACTGCAAGCTTTGCTGACTTTGTGGTCTTTTTTAGCAGCCAGTGTGCACTGTGCAGTTAAAGGGTTGGTTCACCCAAAAATGGAAATTCTGTCAGTAATTACTAATTACTCACCCTCGTAAAACATTCGTTCATCTTCGGAACACAAATTAAAATATTTTTGATGAAGTCAGATGAAGTCTCACACTCCTTCATAGGCTTCTATGTAATTTCATTCTGTTGGTCCAGAAAAGTTAGTAAAAACATTGTTAAAATAGTCGAAGTGACTACAGTGGCTCAACCTTAAGTTTATCAAGCGACACAAAAAGTATTCTCGTCGCTTGATAAACATAAGGTTGAGCCACTGTAGTAACTTGGACTATTTTAACAATGTCTTTACTAACTTTCTGGGCCGGCAGATGCAATTACCTATAGCAGCCAGAGCCAGCCTATGGAGGAGTGATTCAGCTCTCAGATTTCATCAAACATAGGCTATCTTAATTTGTGTTTCCGAAGATGAACGAAAGTCGTACGGGGTTGGAACAACATGAGGGTGAGTAATTACTGACATAATTTTCATTTTTGGGTGAACTAACCCTTTAAACTTTGCATTTTAATACCGCTTGCGCAAGAAGCAACTTTTTACAATTGTGCGCGCATGCCCCAGTGTGCATGAACGGTTATGTGACATGCGTTTTCGGCTTTTACCGTCTGGTATTCGGTAGTGTAGTGTGGACGGAGATCGTTTCTGAAATGCCAGTATAGACGAGGATCGTTTTCATATGAATTAAAACGCCATTTTAAAACTACGCACTGCCTAGTGTAAACGGGGGCAGTGAGACACTGTTATCACGCCACGTTGGCTACACGTCCATTTTCTCAACACACAGTGAAAAATACTTAACGGAGCAAAGAGGACACTGACAACGCGCCTAAAGACAAGACAAATCAGGTTATTTTTGAAACGAATACAAAAAAAGTGAAACTAAGTCTGAGGTGTAAAATTTTGTCAATTTTATAATGAAATTGAAACAATAAATGTGGTTTTGATATTGTAACGTTGTCAGTAAACCTAATGCCATCTTGTTTGTCCCCCTCCCAAGATTTACCTTTTAATGTAGGCCTAAATATGAGCCAACTCGAGCAAAGCCAATTTAAAATGTAAGGTTCGGATCCTACTACACCTGCCGGAAAACTTCCAGTGAGATGAAGAAGAATCTCTAGGTTTTGAAGGCTAGACCTTCTTGCTAAGGCTATCACCCTACTATATCCATCTTTTAGATGTAACAGAAATGATCATTCTCATGCGAGGGACCCCCATCCTAAAATTTCAATGGCAGGCAGCAGTAGATTTGTGTAAAATATTATTTGGAACATATGTAGTTGACTGTTTTTTTCCCGCTCACTATAGTATAATGTGTATTATCTATTTGTTTATTTTAATCAAAATTTAAATTGTTAAATTTAATTTTTAATTTTTTTATTTAAATGTTATAATTTATTTTATCCATTAATATCAATTAAACATTTTTTTATTATTATTTTATTCATTTATTTATGTCATTAATTTAATTAATCGTTTTATTTATTTATTTTTTTACACTGTTTTCTCTAAACATTTCCATAGTCCCTCTAGCATTTCCTTATGCCCCCCTGGGGGTCCTCGGACCCCATTTTGAAAACCCTTTTGCCCTAAAGCAAAATAATATAGTTATATCCATATGGCACCACTGGAGGGCAGTAGTGTCACACCTCAGTAAAATACATTTAACAAGCAATTTGCTCTCTTCTTGTACATCGTGTACTGCTCTAAAGCAGAAAGTCTGCCTGTAAAACACTACCCGCTCCACGTACACAAATCGGCGAGTTAAATCCTGAGAACTAAAACAAACAGCTTGGAGGTAAATAACAATGCACTTTAGATGTGCTAACAAAAGGAATTAATTCACATGCCTACCTGTGCAATCTGCAGTTATCCTGCCTCCTTAAGTAGTCACTGTTGCTGCAGGCTCACATTCTGCGTCTCTCGGCAATGACAATACAAGCATCTCTGAGCTTTCACAATTGAAAATTGGCACTGTTAGGTTGTTTTAGATCTGAAATCGTTATACGAGACTCGGTGTGGATCTTGGTCGATATATGTGCATAGCCTACTATTCTTTAGTTAATTAAATTTCAAGTCATGAATCCTTCCTACAGGTTATTATACATAAATATACATCCGACATGTGTTGTCATATGACGTAGGCCTACATAAACAAACCAGCTCAGGTATGTCTGGAAATAGCAATGAAAACATGAAGGTATACATGGATATGGCATATCACACATAGGCCTACTAGGTGTGACAGCAGTGACATTATAAACAGCTTGGTTGAATTCTCAAATTAATTAGTTTATCTGTACATCTATTTCTTCATTTTTGCTCTAAGCAACATTATAATTTCCTTTTTAGAATAATACAAGTCAAAGAGTAAAGGTGAGGATACACAGGGCAACTTTTTGAGCAATGTTGCTGGGCATTCTTGCCGAGCGATTGTTGCTTGGAGACTTTCCCATTGAAAATGGGCAATACATTTCTATCTGGATAATTTAGATCGGTCGTGTGCCCTGTGTCTCATCCGGTTGCCCGTTGACGGCAACATTGCCCATCAACATTGCTCAAAAAGTTGCCCGGTGTATCATCACCTTTACTCTTTGACTAGTATTATTCTAAAAAGGAAATTATAATGTTGCTTAGAACATTCATATTAGTAATATGAAGAAGAAGAAGAAACATCCAAGAAAACATGGAGATGTATCAAGACAAATTGAGATTTTTAATACCTAACATTTCTTTTTCTTCCTCACACAGAGCTATTATGACTTCACAAGTCTTGGAATACAATCACATGGATCACTTTTATCATGGTTTTGGGGTGCTTTTGGTCTGTTTTGGAGCTTGACAGCCCCGGTCCTCATCCACCGTTACGGTAAAGATAAAAGCAGCACGAAAATAAAGTCATACATGTATTGAACAACATGATGGTGTGCAAATAGATGTTATGAATTATGGTCTAAAACTACACGCTAAATAATTTTGAATTAATTGCTGCTATTTTATTATACAGACGCTCTTTTGAGGTCACTTCCTTTTGGATTGCATCAAGATAAGTGCTGGTGTCTCATATGAATTCAGGTATTGTGATAAAAGAAACAGGATCCAATATAATAAGCTTTCTATGGGGTATTTTGAGTTTGTGCTTTGATCATTTACCTCAGGCTTCTAGTGAATTAGATCTTTCCATCTGCAGACGAAAAAAGTGTTTTGAGGAAAGATATGGCTGATGAAGATCACATTTAGACAACTGACCATGAAAGCGAAAGAGATAAACATCAAGGTGAGTTTTAACTTCCTCCATCTTTGATTTGTGGCTTTGCGTGGTTGTTTGTCACAGGTGTGGCATCTTTTGTTTCAAGATGAAAGCCCTGTGATTTGCTCTTTTGTTGTTTACTTAGAAAAGATGCATTTTGAATGCTTTCAGTGTACAAGCTTTTCTTTATGATAATTTAAAATAATATACTGTGTCTTGTATAGCTCAGTCATGTATTTGGTCTTATTGGAGCTCAACTGCTAGAGCATGGCGCTAACAATGTCAAGGTCATTGGGTTTGATTCTCAAAGAACACAAACAAAGAAATCTAAAAAAAACTTTGGAATAAAAGTCAGTGTCAGTGTCCCTCACTGTAATTATCAGCATGTTGTATTTCACAGTGTCTTTTTACGTCTCTTAGCACGTTTATTCGCTTCAGTAAATTAGTAGCAGGCACTGAAAGTTTTATTCAGATGGAAGTTGTTGGAAAAACACAAAGGAGCATTAGATTACATAAATGCAATTTATAGAGCACCCATTTGCTTGGATGAAAGAATTGACTGAAACAGTCCCAGACCTGCAATTATGGTGCTAGCAATGTCACTACTTAAATACAGCCGTGTGATATGTGTACAGTATAGTTCTACGCCACATTAAATTCACATAACAGCTTTTAAAAAGGCCCATTTTCAAAGTTCTTCAGGGACTTACTTAAGCGTACAGTAAATACATTAGAAACAATAGTTTATAATATAAACATGCACATTAGTGTAAATGTACTAATGTTAACCTGGTTCCTTATAATGCCTCTCATCCAATTTAAAAAAAGACAAATAAAGGGCCGTCAGAAAGGATTTTTTTTGTCATGTAGAACTTCACATGCAAATGAAAACAGTTTGAGTTATGTCTCTACCTACACGTTCTCCATTGATTTGAAAGGTCTGCATGGAATATGTAGACTACAGTAACTGACAATTTCCATGCAACCGTTTCTTTGGTACTTTTAGTATTACCGTATAGGTCAGGGACAGATCAAAACACTATTCATTGAAAATAAGTTTTACAGAAAGCATCCATGTATAAAAGTGGATATATATATATATTGATAGGTGACTTTAAATACTTTCTGCATTTTGACATGATAGACTCCATCTTACACTCTTTTAAACAGTTAATTATACACTAACAGTTTTTAAAAACATGTTAATTGACTAATATTCCATGTCGTTTCAAAATTAATATGCTCATAAAAACTGCATGCATAATTATTACAAGCAGAATGCTGTTAAAAATAGTCTGAGATGGAGCATATTTGTACTATTAAAAATGAATTAGTTTTTCCACAAATTGAACATATGAAGGCAAAAATGTGACATTGTGAAAAACAGGGCCTAAAATATGTAATTTCCCTTATGCATTTATATACATTTTAGCCTAAAATCTTGAAATAGATTATGTTATGCATCAACTACCCATACACAATATGAAGAATAGTTATGACAGTGCTGGGATGTTTTGAGTTAATGTTTTGCCTCACATCAGCAGATTTTTTACACAAAGAATGGAAAAAGTTTTGAGCAAATACATGACATTTCGTACAAATGAAGCTTGTCTATGTGTACCCCTGAACAGGATAGCACCACTGGTTCCCCCCAGGATCCTCAAATTCGTCCCAGCATTCGTGCTATCCACCAGTTGCAAGGCATGACAATCTGACAGATGACCCGTCCTCCCTGGTAATAGTAAGGATATGGCGAAAAGCCGCCCAGGGGCTCGTAGTATCGCCGACAATAACGGTACCCACGACGACAGTACTGGCAGCAGTAGCCCTGCTCATCTAGGCTGTTGTCCAGCTCCAGCCCCATTTCTCTCTGCGAAGAGAGTGAGTCAACAGGGTTAGAACCGCAGCCAAACAATACCTGCAATCTCACCACAGGGCGCATGACTTATAGCTTGATTTTTAGCAAGAAAAAGGTGCAGTGCTCTGAAGGGGAATGAAGAGTGATTATGGGGTGTAGACATGCAATGACAAAAAGCCCTGTCATGCTCGGATATGTCACAAGGATCAGAGTGGCATTTAAAGTAGATGGTTTTGATATGCCAAGCCAGGGTATCTGATATGATATAATGCCCTTGACCTTTCCATTACGCCGCCGGTGACATCGCGTGGCTTTGGCATCTCCGATTCAAGTCCCTTAACCCCACTGCCTGTCTGTTCTCAGTCAGAGCGAGTTTGACACTGGCAGACGCTGAGATAATTACACTATTTCTTTCATCCCAGCCCTCCCACTCCCATAAATGCGTAGCTTCGGTGCCTCAGTCCGAGCAGCGACCCTGGCCTCATTTGAGCTCAGAAATGAGAACCCTCCCCCATGCACTCTCATGCCCTCCTTTGACTTTGGCATAAAGCGAATGGCACGTTCCTACAGCAATTAGCGGGGTAATGATCGCCCAACAAGGATCGGTTTATTTGCTTTCGCAGGCAGGGTGTGAATTGGTGTAAGGGCTAAATGAAAGCAGAGTGAAAGGTAAATTGGGTAGAATTAATGGCCCTTGGCCCCTCTCTATTGTGATCGTGTACGCATGCCCTCTCCAGATTACCCAGGGCTGAGTGCCATGCCTTTGATCAGCCGCTGCGGCGAGATGGGTTCCGAGAAGTGCCACTTAACTTTCCCGTATCTCCCGTAACTGTTGGAGCAGATAGCACCCTCAACTCTCTGTTTCATTTGACTGCGTTTCGATCTCCCCTAGCTTACGACACAGACAATATGATGTTATCCGGCTGATTAAAGACACCGTCGTTGACCTAGTCACCTCCTCTGATCTGCATTAGATTGGCAGATGAAGCCGGATCTCTTTCGGTTGTCTGGCAACTCTTCAGAGTTCCTGTTGGGAATGACGCAAATAAACTTGACGGCAGAAATTGCTTTGAAATGTGTTGCCCGGAAGAAAATGACATACTTTATCCATGGTCATACATGGTGTTTGTATAGCATAAACAGATATATTATTATCATTATCGATTTTCTTGGGTTTGAGATGAAGCGCAGTGAATTATAATGTGCCTGTGCATGTGAAGATGCATAATGGCATGCATTTCTCCTCTGGAGTCCCATCTCTCATTATGTTCTCCATAAACGAAGCATGTATGAGTTTTCATGAGCTCACTATGCAATGATGTATAGAGTGAAAATTGCATTCTCCTAATGATTAGACTAGTGCAAGAGAAAGAAGTGTGATGCCTTTACAGTTTGATTTATTACTCTCACAAATGCACAATTACTGATTCATAATGTTTGTTGGGTTTAGGGTCAAGAGTGTTGAGACAACAATTCATTTTGGTAACAGCACAAAGCCTGTCGGTGTAGAACTGTTTGATTTATCAGACTTTCACGCTAGCATGAAAGGTGGATGTTATTTGGGAAATTAAGTGTTTTTCTTTTTTCGAGTGAAATGATGCGCGATTAGTATAAAACAAACAGACTATGGTATTGTTCCACAGAGGCATAATCAAACTGATTATCCTGCTGCAATGAGAAAGTGAGTGTTAATAACTTCATGTTTGGGACTTTATGTGTCTGTCTGTTGCATGCGTAGATGACAATAAATAAAGTACTCTGGGACATGATGTCAATCATGAATAAAATAGTAAGAGCAATTAAGAACAGGTGCCGGGAGCTGACTATAGCGTTTTATATAAGCTTCACGAAGCCTGTCACGTCCTCTGCTATGGTTAGTGTTACAGCCCGTTAGCATTTAATGTGAGAAAGTATGAAAACTCCTCATTTATTATGGCATGGCACATCATACAGTTGATTCTCAACTTGACACCCTGAGGATTTATTTCATAGACTGTGATTACTGAAGGGATAAATTATCTTAAACTTCCACTATCTTGATGCTAACCAAGACACGAGAGAGACACTTTTCCCCCAATTTTTATTTATTTATTAGAAATCCATTTAGAGTAAAATTATTTTACTCTACATTCTTTTACATTAAATGATTATTATTATTAGTTTTCCCAGGATTACCAAAGTTAACTCATTAAACATAATTAAATATGCGTAACATGCTGGTTATTTATTTATTTAAACGCTGTGAATGCATTTTATTCAATCTGATATTATACACGCTTTGTTCTGTTCTAAAAACTAATCGGAACATCTAGAGCCGATTGGAACTGATCAGAGTGTACGCAAAAGTCTTATGGGGAGAACCCGTTTATCAGTACATGATGGTGGAAAGACTCCTTTTACAGGTTATTTATTTATAAATCAAACCCATGCACACTGTTTAGAACAAAAGTAAAGCATTTGCATTCATTGTATGGTAGAATTTAATTATCGTTGAAGCAGAACCATCATTCATTTTAATGCGAACACCTGCGGAGGAACACATCTTTATGCTTGTGCGATTAAGTGTGAAGAAAGTTGTTTTATTAAATTATTGCAGATTTGCATTTCCATGTTTGCATTTCCTGTGTGTATTGATAGTCACTACCGTTCAAGTTTAGGTTCAGTGAGATTTTTTTTTTTAAAGAAGTCAATACTTCATTTAGCAAGGATGCATTCAGTTGATCAAGAGTAACATTATAAATGCCTTTATTGTCACAAATCATTTCAAATAAATGTTGTTCTTTTGAACTTTCTATTCATCAAAGAATCCTGAAAAAAAAGTATCATTGACAAAAATATTGAGCAGCACAACTGTTTTCAACATAACATGATAATAATAAATGTTTCTTGAACACCCGATCAGATCTTTGACACATTGCCATCACAGGAATAAATTACATTTTGAAATTTATTTAAATAGAAAGCAGTTTCGTATATCAGTATTTCAGAATATTACTACTTTTTACTGTATTTTTGATCAAATAAATGCAGCTTTGGTGAGCATAATAGACTTCTTTCAAAAACAAATCTTATCTGATTGATAGTGTCGTTATACAGAAATACAGACCTACCGGTATATGTTATAATTTGCTTCCCTTAAAAGGGAACTGCATGTGCGAACACGTAATTTTTACACAGCTTAATTGATTGACATTCCTCCTTTTTTCCAATCACAGATGTATAAAGTCTTTTTTTGCCTAATTTTAGTGTCCGAAGTTTAAAGTGAATTTATCTTCTTCGGGTCCTTGACCGGAAAGTGCATCTTAAGTTCAGACTTGGGGAGGGAGGTTCAATCGGCGATCTGCAAGCCAGAATGCTTTCAGCTAGAACGCGGGGTCACAATGCCTACCATCAACAACTGCGGCAGACGTACAAGACTGAGATTCGACCAGACCCAATCATCAGAGGCTTATCCTCCCAATGTAGGTCAAGGACCATGATGCAATTTCTCAGTGCAGCCAGATGATAGTTATTCAGTTTGAAAGATATCCAGAGCTGTGCTGGCACACAACCCATCAGCATGGCAGTACTGGGGAAAGGTCAGCCTCGTATATCTCAGGCCTTCTGTCACAGGAACTTTGATGATTATTTATAAAAAGCACACAACAGGGTACAGAGACCTGTAGCAAAATATGAATTCCCTCCTCGAGCTGCAGACGTCTGCCGGTGGGAGAGGAAAAAGAAGGGCTTGCGTCTAGGATCCTCTGAAAGGTCTGAGATATCTGGCTTCCCAGCAGCATCTACATGACTCCAGACTCCAATTACTGGAAGCCACATCCCCTCTGACGTTCACAAAAGCCTTTGTTATCGCTCTGCCCACAAACACAGCCCGCCTGTGCTAAGCCTTGGAATTGGCTGGATTGGTATGCATTAACCAGCTGATAGAAGGAGCAGATTTCAAAAGCGAAAAGGTGGTTTCATCTGGGTTTGCTTTAATTATATGGAACTTTGCAGTCCGTGTTGCTGGATGAGGTGGGAAGGCAAGTCGTTCCTGGACCTCTGCAGATAAATATGGCTTTTTTCCCCCACCTAAAGTTCTTTCTTTTCGCCGTCTTCTCATCCTTGCGCTCAGAGGCTAAAAGTCGCATACTAGATGGGGAGGTGTATATCGTAGGTGTGCGAAGCATTAGTGCGTACAACTTCAGGATAATTAATCATTGAACATATGCTTCACTTCATGAACGCAATAAAGGACTCTCTTTGGCCGCTTGATTCTTTATGCCTTGATAATTAAAGCATGATTAATACATTTATCTATTCATTAATGAGTGACCTTGGGAGGCTGTCTTTGTACATCAGTAACTACATAAGAGAGGCATGAAAAAACTGCAAAGCAAACTTGCTTCCTTTGAAGGCTAAATATCCCTATCCATTAGCAGTAAGACATTAAGGGAGTCTTAAGTGAGCTGGCCTGATTTAAGCAGATATATAGAGCAATTTCAATGCCCTGTGGTCCACATGGTCTGTTTTAAGTTCGGAAAGGGAACTTCGATTAATGAACGATTTATACTAAAAAAGAGAGCATGACTATCCAGCTCAACCGCAGTCGAACACGCCTTTTAGTAATGAACCTCAGGCTCATACTTACATAGTCGTTTACTGGTAACTGGTCCATGATGTCCCGGGCCTGACGTGGCCCTCTTGCCTCCAGCTCTGGGGTCTCCTCCACGTCCTCTACATCATGGAACTCAGCTTCTGCATCACAGAAGGAAAGACGATGACGCAGTCACACTGCTAAACACTTGCTGCTACAAAATGGATATCGTGAAAGGCCCCTTTGATCTTCCTTAAGAACATGCTATAAAGCCCTCATTTAGAAAAATGTAACAAGTTGGCAAAATACTTCTTCAAACATGGTGTATCATGTCCTTGATCAGTTAATCAATGATTGCTTAGGACATTTCTAGAGCATTAGCCACACAATTCTGTGTTTGAAGGGAAAGTACAAACAAACAGTGGAGAGCAAAAGAAATTACAGCCTTGACTTTACAGCTATTCTGAAACCTTATTACTAGGGTTGAATTGGATTTCGAGTTGGTGAAGGCCTGTTTGTAACCTCTGAGAGGAGATGGGTGAATCCAGTGGATGGGTAGATCTTGGCAAATCTCCCAGATCTTGGAATTCAACAGGAATGTTTTGTTGGATATGGGCTTCTCAGCAGGGATCCATATCTGAGAGTCCACCATCTGCATATCCACTTCACCTGTCTCACTCACCTGTGAAAAGAAAATATATTTTAATGCCTTATTGTGCCTGCACAAAATGCTTTGTCATAGGGATAGATGATCTGACACAGATACTTGCTAGAGCGTGCCAATATCGATACCAACGGACTTACCAAACCGTCTGTTTACGTATTTCCACTAAAATGTTAGTGCTACGTTAGCTTTCGGTATAGTATTTATTTTCCCACAGTATTGCTTTGTCCTGTTGTGGAACATTTCCTCAAGATTTCATTTGATTTAGTTAACAATAAATACGGAAGTGATTGTTCATAGACTCCATGCTGATATCTTTTTTAAACATTTATTTTATTTTATGATAGGACAAAGATAAGTAATTATAGCACTCTAATTTTTTTTTTTTTATCATTTATTAACAACAATTATAAAATCAATTTCAACTTTTAAATAATTCGAATCATTAAACAATCATCACACAAACCCATTATAATAAATGTCACATCTACGCTTGACTTTAATGTGAATGATATTTCTTTGTCAAAGCCCCAGTCTGCGTTTGATTGAAGGCTGTGAGTGAAGTGTCAGCGGAGTGAGCAGTTTGTGGCTGGCTGCTTGTGTCTTTCAGCGGTTCTGCGTAAGATAAGAAATAGTTCCTATCTTACCCAACTTGCTATCACAGTTCATTTTTTCACTTTGGAGTCTATTTTATGCATTGATTTTTTTTTTGTGCTAAAAAATAGTAAAACTGCTAATTCAACTGCTATATTTGTATGTGGAGATCGAGAGTAAAGTACTGATACTTAAGTTGTACTTTCAGAAGCCCAATTGGCTTGATTGAAACTGATCCAATTCCTTCCTCTAAACTCATTTCTGTTCGTCAGTGCTTTGTTTACTGTGCATCCTAAGTCTCCTTCGCACAGCCCAAGCAAGATAAAGCTGGAGTATCTGCTTTATGCTATTGCCTTGGATCATTACACTCTCTCTCTCTCCACAGCCAGGGAACAGAGAACTGCTGACCATGGCTAAAATGTTTAATTTGACCTCTCTTAAAGACCATAGCTTTACCGTCTTATGAAGCAGACTTTTTTCTTCCCTAGCTGTGAAAAAGTGCCCTTTTCTGCAGACACTGGTTGTCACGGAGCGCGCGGCTGTCACTGAGCGCGCGTCTTCACCTCTCCCCGATCTCACACGCTCCTTGTCACCTGAGTTCTAGAACTGCACTTCCCATCATTCCCCTCTGCTATCATTAGGTTCCATCCCTGCCTGGTTTCTCCATTCAGTCTCATCACTCCCACCTGTTAATCGTTACCTACCCTTTATCTGGACTGCTCAGTTCTATGTTCATTGCGAAGTCTTGTTTTGCCACGCTACATGCTGAAACGTGTGCAGTTGTTTCATGTCAGTGATTCCTTGTTTTATTACCTGTTTGAATAAAGTGCTGCAGATGGATTCGACTGCCTCTTCTCCGTCATTACAGAAGACTTCGCCAACACAGGATCCAGCAGACTTCCAGCGTCTGGCTTCCGAGGTTTCATCCCAGGCATCTGTGTTAATCACACACCAACAACAGCTGGTCAAGTTAACTAACCTCACTGAAGAGCTTGTGAAGTCCGTGCAAACCCTCTCTCAACAGAGCGCGGTCGCTAATCAAGCTCAAGCTCCCGCAGCCGCGGCTCCCTTAACATCAAGCGTGAGTACGACTTCAAGCAACCCAAAATTATCTTTCCCTGAGAAGTTTAATGGCTCACCTGCTGCCTGTAGAGGATTTCTGTTGCAGTGCGACCTATTTATCAACCAACAACCCCAGCTTTATCCCACTGATGCGTCCCGCGTCTCATTCATCTGCTCTTTACTCACCGGGAGGGCGTTGGAGTGGGCGACTGCTCTCTGGTCAGGAGGTCAGCACACATTTCCCTCTTATAACGTGTTTCTGTCTCAATTCAGAGAGGTGTTTGAACATCCCGCGGGCGGTAAGGAGCCAGGAGAGCTACTTCTCGCATTAAGTCAAGGGAGTTCTACTGCGGCTGACTACACGCTTTCATTCCGCACCCTGGCAGCTCAGACGGGTTGGACGGAGGAACCACTTAAGTTGCTGTACCGAAAGGGTTTGAATTCTGCGCTGCAAGGGGAATTGGCTTGTCGCGACGATGGAAGGACCCTCGGAGAACTTATGGAGCTCGCCATTCGCCTCGACAATCTCATCCGCTCTCGACGCGCACCTCTCTCGCCCAGTCTCTTCACTAATCCACCAGCCAGCTCAGATTTCGAGCCCATGCAGGTCGGCTTCACACGTCTCTCTACGGAGGAACGTGAGAGGAGGCGGCGGAATAAATTATGCCTGTACTGTGCTCAAGCCGGTCATCTGAGAGCTTCTTGTCCGGTGAGATCCAGATCCAGAGATACTTCTGCGGTGAGTTCTTCGATTAATCCTCCTAACTCTAACTCTCTCAGTCTCGAAGTTTCCTTTAATTTTAATGGAAGTATTTGTGAGACAAGGGCTTTAATTGACTCTGGTGCCGCTGGGAATTTTGTTGATCTGGATTTTGCCTTGTCTAATCATCTCTCTCTCATCCCTTGTGAGTCTCGTGTGGCAGTGGCAGCCCTGGATGGACGCCCCTTGGGGACAGGGGAGGTACATTACATCACGCAGCCACTTACTCTCAGCTTCGGGTCTCGTCACACGGAGAGAATTCAGTTGTATACCATCAGTTCACCTCATCATCCAGTAATTTTGGGATTGCCCTGGCTGGAGAGACACAACCCTCTAATTTCCTGGACTGAGAGGAGAATTACGCAATGGTCTCCTTTCTGTCAGGTCCACTGCTTGCCTGCTCTCCATGGTCCTGAATCAAGCCACAGTCCCTCTGAGAAGTTGAATTTGCAAGGAGTTCCTGCGGTCTACCATGATCTTGCCCTGGCATTCAGCGAGAGAGAGGCTGCACTTCTACCCCCGCACCGGGCCAGTGACTGCGCGATTGAACTGCTACCCGGAGCCGTTCCCCCGCACGGCCGTGTGTATCCACTTTCGCAACCGGAGACTGAGGCTATGAATTCGTATATCGAGGAGCAACTTGCTAAGGGTTTCATCACCACTTCCACATCCCCCGCGTCCGCTGGATTTTTCTTCGTTAAGAAGAAGGATGGGAGTCTCCGGCCCTGCATTGATTTCCGAGGTCTTAATGAGGTAACCGTGAAGTATCGTTATCCTCTGCCTTTAGTCCCTGCAGCCCTGGAGATGCTTCGCTCAGCCCGTTACTTCACCAAGCTGGATTTGAGGAACGCTTACAACCTCATTCGCATACGGAGGGGTGATGAGTGGAAGACGGCCTTTTCTACGACCACAGGGCACTATGAGTATCGGGTTATGCCATTCGGGCTGTCCAATAGTCCTTCTGTGTTCCAGTCGTTTGTTAATGAGATCTTTCGTGACATGCTGAATCAGAAAGTTATTGTTTATATTGACGACATCTTGATTTTTTCAGAGACCCTCGAAGCACACGTCCAGGATGTGCGTGCAGTCCTCAAACGCCTAATTGAGAACCAGTTATACGCCAAGACTCAGAAGTGCGAATTTCATCAGACCCGGATCGCCTTCCTAGGATATATCATCAGCGCCGAGGGGGTTCTCATGGATGACAGCAAGGTCAAAGCTGTGGTGGACTGGCCGCAACCTTCCTCTGTGAAAGAATTACAGCGATTCCTGGGCTTTGCCAATTTTTATCGTAGGTTTATACGTAATTTCAGTCTCATTGTGGCTCCTCTAACATCTCTTCTCCAGGGGGGGGGGAAGCGCTTCCGGTGGTCTTCCGAATGCACTTCTGCGTTTTCCCGGCTGAAGGAGAGGTTCACGTCCGCACCCATTCTCCATCATCCTAACCCGGAGAGCGAGTTTATCGTGGAGGTTGACGCTTCAAGCACTGGAGTTGGGGCAATCCTGTCTCAACGCCACGGTAACCCTGCTAAAATGTTTCCCTGTGCTTTTTTCTCCCGCAAGCTTAATTCGGCGGAGCGCAATTATGATGTGGGCGACCGAGAGCTTCTGGCCATGAAAGCAGCCTTGGAGGAGTGGAGGCACTGGCTGGAGGGTGCACGTCAGCCTTTCACCGTCCTCACTGACCACAGAAATCTTGAATATATCAGGTCCGCCAAGCGTTTGAATGCTCGTCAGGCTCGCTGGTCACTGTTCTTCTCTCGATTTAATTTCAGGATCACGTACAGACCTGGGTCCAAGAACGGGAAGGCCGATGCTCTGTCTCGTCAGTTCGAGGAGTTCAATGAGATTTCCAAGCCAGAACCCATCCTTTCCTCCACTCTGATCGTTGCTCCAGTGCAGTGGGACATCATCTCGGAGGTTACCGAGGCACAACAAGCTCTTCCTATTCCGCCGGAATGTCCAGAGAATCGCCTTTTCGTGCCTCTCGAACTCCGTGATCGGGTGCTTCAATGGGTTCACAGCACACTCAGCGCTGGACATCCAGGTATCTCTGCTACAGTACAGCTAGTCTCCAACCGCTTCTGGTGGTCCACCCTCCGGGCTGATGTTATCAAATTCATTCACCAATGTTCCATCTGTAACACTGTCAAATCTTCCCACCTTAAACCTGCCGGTCTCTTACAGCCATTGCCAGTGCCTCAACGCCCATGGTCTCATATCGCTGTGGATTTCGTAACTGATTTGCCTCTGTCTCAGGGATTTACCACAGTTCTGTCAGTCGTGGATCGCTTCTCCAAATCCTGTCGTTTTATCCCCCTGAAGGGTCTGCCCACTGCCATGCAGACTGCGGAGGTGCTTCTCAACCACGTATTTCGTCTTTTTGGTCTCCCCGAGGACATCGTCTCCGACCGTGGTCCCCAGTTCACTTCCCGCATTTGGAGAGAACTCTGCTCCAAACTCAACATCAATGTCAGCCTCACCTCGGGATACCATCCGCAGGCCAACGGTCAGGTTGAACGGTTGAACCAGGACCTCATTCGCTTTCTGCGGACGTACTGTCACGAGAACCAACAGGACTGGAGCCGCTTCCTGGTCTGGG